AAGGCACTGCTATATAATTGGTCAGTTTAGAAGCTCGCTGTTCTTCGCACTCTTTTGCCAAATGACACTTTGCCAAATGACACTTTGCCAAATGACACTTTGCCAAATAACACTTTGCCAAATAACACTTTGCCAGACGATACTTTGCTAAACGATATTTTGCTAAATAATACTTTGCAAGATAATATATTAGCTTTCCTACTATATACCTTTCGGTATATACCCTATTTGCAGTTACTTTCTTAGTATTACTACTAACAGAATAGAAAAATACTTTTATCTCTCCCCCTTTAATATAATATTAATTACTTATCTATACCGCCTGAAATTATATACTAGCTGGCTCTACTAACCTAGACTTATAATATTAGACTTCTATATAAAGCAAGGAGAGATAGTAATATAGCCCGACTAACCTATAGTACTCTCTAGGCTATCTCTCTATTATTTCCTCCCTCGGGTCTTTAAAGATTACTAATATAGATAGAAATATAGCTGCAGGATAAGCTGATCTAGCTCTAGCAGTTATTATTATACTAAATTTAGTATTATCTAAATATCTAGATACTTTTAAATCTAATCTTAGATTTTATCTAGTATATTTACTAGGGTATAATATAATTTATATTTCTAGACTTTAAAATATAATCTAATCTTACTTAAGCTAGATAGTATTAGAAGGGGATAAGAAGAGTTATAGTAAACAGAGATCTATATAAAGCTAATTATAATAGCTACTAGCTAGTCTATATACTAACTAATATTTTTTCCTCTATAATTAAATATAGAATCTAATACTTTTATATCTCCTTATATATTTTAAGTAAATAAATATAAGTACTAATTATATTATCTTAATATAATAATAGTAAGGGACTTCTATATACTAATTCTCCTTAGTCTTATTCCTATTTCTAATCTTATTCTTACTCTTATTACTATTTCTATACTTACTCTTCTTAAACTTAACCCTATTATCCTTACTTATATTCTTACTTTTAGATATCTCTATATTATCTTTAAACTTACCCTTATATACCTCTATACTATTCTTACCCCCTCTCCCTTAAGCTTCTTTATTATCCTTACTCTTACCCTGCTTAATAGCTTATTTTAGATTATTAAATAGTACTAAGAGAGGGTCTTTATATCCTAATTAGAAGTTTATATATATATTAATAAAATAGTCCTTTCTCTTAGTAATAATAAGATCCTGTCCCTATTCTACTATTACTACTTAATACCTTATATTATAGAGTAGTTATTATAGAATCTAAAAGAAAATCTGATTATATTCCTTAATAATTATCTATATCTCCTATTTAATCCTAAAAATACTATATTAATAAAAGTCTCCCTACTAAACTATAGATAGCAGGGGGTCTTCTTAATAGGATAAGCTGCTTACTTTCTTATATATTAAACTCTCTTTTAATAAGTACCTAGGCTATTATATCTCTAGTATCCAGTTTATCCTTATATTTCCTCTTTATAGATCTATATAATTCTTTATAAGCTATATTTATACTAGTCTCCTTATTTTTATAGCTACTTAATAAATAATTAAGTAATTCTTTATAAAAGATCTCTATACTACTCTCTTTTTACTTACTAAAAGATATTATAGCTTATAGCTATTCTCTATTAAGAAATAATTAGCTAAGGTAATTATCAGATAGAGGTATAGTAGATAGTTATAGAGGGTTAATTTCTAAAGGCTTAAAACAGGATATTAGTAAGAAAGAGATTAAGTAGGTATAAATAACTATAGTTAGAATATCAGACTCTATTTATACTAATACCCCAGGCTAATCTAGGGAAAATAAAGTAAACTCTATCTAGGTAAGAAGTATATAAGGAGTAAGGTATAAAAACTAGAGCTAGAGAGATATATACCTATACTCCCTGTTATATTATTAATCTCTATAACTATACTATTATAACTAACTGCTCTAAGCTGTTTTTATTACTTATAAGTATATATTATTATCTAGAGGATATTTAAGGGTATATAATAAGTAAGTATTTACCTATAAATATATTAAGGTATATAATAGTTCTTCTTTACTCAGCTACTAATACTACTAAGTTATATACTCTTATTAATAACTATTACTATTAGTAATACTAGTTTTAGCCTTATTATATTCTCTTTATATAATCCTCCTATATAAGGTTTTAAAGTCTAGATATTAAGGTAATAAGTATATAGACTTACCTATAAAGAGAAGATTTTAATATATATTAGATAGTTAGATTACCCTATATATAGACTTCTACCCTAGAAGTAGAGGCTACTTTAAGAACTTTTAAAAGGACCTGAAGGGTATTATCAGGCCGGATACTAAGATATAGAACAGGGGGAATAATATAGAGGTATAGGAGAGCGAGGATAAATAGAACTAGTATATATTAGTCTCTTATATTTATATAGGCAGGATATAATATACTATTATATTTATTAGTTCTATATATATATAAAGATATAAGAGCTTTAATACCTATATCTAAAACCTGAAGAGAAGATATTACTTAGTATATAATTACAGCTGACTTTATATAGCTCTCTATATATACTACCTCTTAAGATAGAGAACTATAACTCTCTATACCTATCTTTTATTATTATATTTATTACTAACCAGATAATAATCTCAGGGGTCTAGTATATTATAGCTAGTATAGATAGATACCTAATTAATCCGTATAGTACTATATATACTTAAGCTGCTGGAGGAAAAGGGGTATATACTCTTAACTATCTGGCTTTCAGCTATATTTATTATAAAACTTCCTTATACTACTCTCTGAAAGAACTAGAGGCTGATAACTAGTAATACCTACCCAGATAGCCTATCTTATATTATATACTACTAGTAATAGTAGTTAAGATATATTATCCTACTAACTCTATTTTATACTATAGATAAGGGATATATCGCTATTATATATTTATAGTTAATTTATTAGTATTTCTTTAGGTATTAGCTCTTACTAGATAGCAGCTGCTAAGGGGGTATAAGTATAGGAGAGGGACTATTAGTTCAGCTTACTAAAACTGGTTATATATAGGAGAGACTGACTATTAGATTTAGCAACTAATCCCTCCGAAGTCCTTAGTAGTTACTCCCCTGCTATATCTTACTCAACCCTTCTCTCTCTATCTCGCCAGATACTACTATCAGCCCCTTTAACTATAGTACTCAGCTTAACTCTACCCCCTATTAATATTCCTCTGTATTTATATTTATTTAGTAACTCCCCTCTCGGTAGAATATAATACTAGGAATTTTACTTAGATATAAATTATAGCTCTAAGTTTGCTTTTATAAGATTATACCTCTCCTTCGAGGTATAAGTTAATCGGCTCTATTCCTTATCTAAATTTAATTCAACAGAAGTATTAGAATGAGTAATTGTATTCCTTGTTCTATTATGATTTACATTAGAGGGAGCACCTATACTTATATATATTCCCCCCCCAGTCGTGATGTTTCAACAAGAAGGCCCAGGCCATTAAGCAGTGCCTCCCACACAGTAACATTAGTAGTCAGGGCTAGTTAGGTAAAGGTATAGAAGGCTATAGCCTTCGTAGATAGTTGTTCTAATATATATACTAAAAATTGGCTAGTATAAAACAATTCACTATATAGAATAAAACCTTTCCTAACTCTTAGGTCCTGTACTTTCGCTGTAATTCGAGCCCTTATTCCGCCCTTCCTTATTAAGTTACAGTCTCTTTCTGTATACGGCCCGCGGGATTACTACTTATAGTAGTACCAAGAGAGTTAACTGTTTGAACTCTAAGTAATAATATATCGGATAAAATAGATTATTAGCTGTTCAGGCTTGATAGATTAAAGTTATCAGAGATATCGGGAATTATGATTAATCCGAGTCCTGGGCCTTTATCTGCGTAAGAGGTTCGACGAGAGCCCTCCGGAAGCTGATAACCTACTATTAATATTACTATATAGAGAAGCTATTAAGTAAGTATCAGCCTTATAAAGTAATCTACTAGTAATAGTCCTATTACTGTTCCTAAGATTAAGATAATATATATACCTAGTACTAATAAGTAATTAATTATTTAATTTCTCTTAAATAGAATACCCTGGGAAGTAAGATATAATACCCCCAGGATAACTATTTAAAAAGTAATTAGTATAATATAGATAAGTTTAAGAGGTATAAGGATATTTAGAACTAGTACTAAGATAATAACCAGTATAACTTTAATATATTTAAGAATAATAAGGTATTTCTATAGCTAATCTTTCTTAACTATAACTGTAAATATATATATAATTATAATAATCTGCAGGTATTTATTAGAAAGGTATTTTAAGCTTCTAGGGACTATAGTAAACCTGAACTATAGTAACTCCCTACAGGGATATTATTACTAAAATAAGATAAATAGAACTTAAAAGAACCCGTAGCAGTTTGGCCTGCTGGCTGTCTTTAAGGGAGAAGAGAATTAATACTACCAGCTCTAATATAATCTATCCTACTAATCAAGAAGACCAACTATACCTTCTGCGATCACGAGTGATGAAACTTGAGGGTGATAAAGAGACAGATGCAAGCTATCGAGAGGATAGCTACTAAGTAAGCATCAGCTATCTGGTGTCGAGAGAGATAGTCCATGATTTGATAAATACAATCAATCGTAAGTAAATAATGTTCAAAAGTATATGTGAAGTTTGGCCAGAATTGGTGTGGAAGCACGATAAGATGGGAACCCGACCCTACTTATGCTTGCGACTGATCTAGAGGATGCTGCAAGCACGGTGACTGTGAGCTGAAAGGAGTTGATATGATAGTGGCTGTATTATGGGCAGTTTATCACAAGCCTTTGGAGGAAGTATCAACCTCTATTACCAGCTGCTTGGTCAATTAGCAAGAGGATGATTATATATGCTTCTCATAAGATGTTTCTTCTCGATTAAATAATAGAGACCTATAGAACGTTTATATTAAGGATAGTAGGGGCAAGTCTATAAGATCAAGCATTTGGATCTTTCCTCGTTAAAGTAGATCTCATTTAAGATATTGGGTGCTACGCCGAAGAAGAGTCTCTGCATCTCTGGCCCGAGAGTCCGATAAGAATCCTTCTCTATTGTGCCTGGGTGGCGAGAGGCCATCGCCTCCCCTAGTTATGTGTGTTAGTGATTAGTGATAACGAAAAGGATTAGTTGGCATGTAAGACTCACCAGTTTCCTCACGGCCTTCCGCGAGGCAGGGGGCACAGGGCGACTCATTCATCCACACCCAGTTAGTACAGTTATGGGAGTAAAAGAATTTACAGCGATATTTGTAGAAGCCGCCGGACATTTTGAAGTTGATGTGATGGTGGCGCCTCTAAGTTTGATACTGAGGATTGAGATGAGATAACGGAATAAACTCTTAGGTGAATGCCTAAGAAGGTGATGACCGAGTCTAATTCAAATCAGTGCCCTCCAATGATGACAGCCCCGCAACTTACCACCCCCCATTGGGAAGAAGACTGCCACTGGCAATGGAGAGGTCAGAGCGTCAAGTACCTTGATGAAAAAAGCCGTTTGGTGTACCTTCCACTCTGAGGTGTACACCAAACACCCTGTAAGAGTATTGTACCTTGCAGCTGAATGGGGGGTGTACATAACGCTGGTCTAGTGGCGCCAGCCTCTTACGATGCATCATGCAGGACCGCAAAGGAGATGAATGAATACAGGCCCCTCCCCACAATAAGGGTGGTGCGATGATCGTTTAGTAAGGTAGAAGCTCCTCCTCGCCATCACACCTTCAATAGAAAACTAATTGATTTTCTTGTCAATAGGACTTTGACCTGCACCTCTAAAGATCATTGTCTTGACCCGCTTCTGACTTGAATCAGTTCATCACGCGTCGTTTCTGGCTTCCTAACACTTCATGGAAACAAGGACATCATTAAAATGCCTCTCAGACTGGCGATAATGGGATCTACCTCCCAAGTTGCTATGCATAGACCTGGGCTTTTCACCCAACAATCCACGGCTACAGCAACCATGCTTTTGAGGGCGCTCCTACTCCTGGCTCCTCCCCTGTTGCCAACGCTACCGATCCCGGCTCCAACCTCATGAGCCCAGCCGTTGATAGGTATGTAACTTTCGATAAAGGCAAGGACAATACCGTAGATAACAGCGAAGATAGGTCAGGCAATGATGCGGCATGCGAACTTCGGAAATGGACTCCAGCTGAGCGTCTCGCGGCTTGTGTGCAGCTTGCGAACCCGGAAGGCAGAACACCAATTGATGTCGCTACGGAAGACCGATGCATGCAATTGCAGGCCCTCAATGGGGAAGCTGACAGTGCGGAGTGGATAACCAAGCAAAATGAGGTTCTTGATGATTCCGGGTATGGAAAGAGCATCGACGGCACCCTCATCCATGGGGGTGACCAGGTCATGCCACCTCAACCAGATGCATTTGGCCAGCAACCCAAATTCGCAATCCTCTGCTAACACAATATGGAACAATGAATCTGAGCTTAAGTATGTATCTGTTCATCTGATGTATATCCGCCCATAATTCTAATAGAGTTCAGGAAACACCTTGCTCCTATATCCAAACTATTTAAATATAACCGCAAAGACTGCTATAAGAACCGAGCTGGCTTTGCCTCCAAGAGCAACCTCACGCGACACAAACGGACCGTCTACGGCGATAACCTCAAGGGGAAGACCTATATTTGCACCAACGGGGATTGTGCGAAGGACAACCCTCCGAAGAGATGGCCTAGAGCTGATAACTTCCGTGCGCATTTAAAGGCGGTCCACAAGATTGAGCAGGTTAGCGACATAGACCTGCAGCATTATTCTACTTCATCAGAGAGCGTCGCGGATGGGGAGCAGTTCGTTGCCCTTGATGATGGCAATTAGAATGAGAAGGCGGGAGTTGAAATCAATGAGGACAAGTTAAGAGAACACTTCAACGGCTTGGACCGGGCCAAGAAGCTCGAGTTCCTTGCTTTGGTGCCGGCAGCGATGTTGCAAGCGGCATTGCGTCAAAAGGAAGATTACCTCTCAATCCTCCGCTAGTGTCCAGGGCAAGGTGGAATGTATTATCTGCGGAACAAAATTCACCAGGTCAAGCGAACTGAGGTATGTTCCATCAGTATACGTTATCAGACCTTTGGACACATTGCTAACGTGGCATAGAAAACACAGCAAGCGGTACGAAAAGCCCTACGGGTGCACAGTCTATCGATGTCAGAAAACATTCGGTAGCAAAGGCGACTGGAAAAGGCATGAAAGCCAATAGCACACCCCACTTGAGATGTGGGTATGTGCTGTGGACTAGTCTTCGGCAGCCGCGACCAGTTCAAGTTGCAGACTCGCATCATGAGATGAGCCCCCCTACAAAGGAGGCGAAGCTCGAAGACAACAGGCAGGATATATACTCCGCGTCCTTCTTCTGGTGTGGGTTCTGCCGTTGTATAGTCCCTATTGTCGATACAAGCAATCTTCAGGATGTCCGCTTCGATCATATTGATGATCATTTCATGGGCCGCTGTGATCAGCCCAAGAGGAATATCTCTAAATGGCTGTACATAGAAGATAACCCCACCGAACGCGAGGTAACGATAGTCAAGGCAATATGCGGAAAAGAAAGCTGAGGGCAGCATCCGAGGCACGCCCTCCCAAGCAGCTGCGTACTAGTATTGATTAAGACAATTATTACTTTTCTCTTTCCCTTTTATATTTAATTACGACACTCCTGGGCTATCTCCATTCTTACCTAATCTCCTTGCTCATTTTTGTTATTTTTGATTTAGTGGGAAATTTTTCATACCGGTCCCGCTCGCTTGAGGAAGTATCAATACATTAATGATAGGTAGTAGCCCAACCTATGTAACCGATGTATTATGGAAAATGATGATGACGACGATGATGTGCGGAAAGCAGGTAAAAAGCGATCATGGGGTTTTGGGAATTACTTTCGTGTCTTGTAAGTTTGAGGCACGAATGGAGAGTGAGGAGTTTCCGGGTATACTAAGGAATTATATTCCTCACCCTCTACCGGCTTGCTGTCTTGGTCGTCCGGTGTAGTCGTCTCAGCTGGCTTTGGCTGTGGTTGTTATGGCCGTCCGCCTCGAGAGGAATGCTCCCTAGTAATAATGCAATGTATTATTTTAGATAGTCTAGTTGTTACGTTGTGCTAAGTTTGCGTGTGTTCGGTTGAATATTGGTGAGTGTGTCGAGATCCGAAATACTGCCGGTTCGGGCTACACAATGGCCAGTAATGGCCGCAAGGCATATCTTACCAACATTTGCCTACTCTCTCTGGGCTAATGCTGAACTTGCAGCATATTTCTTCGCTAGATCGTTCAGCTGCTCATCTAGCCATCATGGTGTGGCCGATGGTCTGTGAGAGGCCACCAGGCCCTGCATGATGTGAAATAATTGTTTAAAGCACTAAGAATGCAGGGCGCGTAGCACTTCAATGCGAAGTGGTTCAGTACCGGCGCTGATAGAGTGCGAGAGCGTGGTTTTCTAAGCACTTCCGACGCAGGGCTACTCTATGTCCTGGGACTGCCAATATTTTAAGCCCCAAGGAGCGTGACAGAGTCCAAAAGTAGGTAAGCAACGACCAAGGGGGGAGTGGTGCTGCCTTAGGAATAACTACTTTGATGGCAATCATGTAGCGCCGCCTTACCTACTACTATGGTCCGGACGCGTAACATATAATCGCTGGGGAAAAAAAACCATTACAAGCACAAAGCGTGCCATTCATTCACTATATCTAGATTGGCCATAAGCCTCACATTCACAACTACGATTGGGCCTGCCTCGAAAAGTTCTCGAATAAACCAACACGTTACCCAACAAATTTCGGTAGCTGTTTACTCCATTACTGGCAGACTAAAGTGAGCTGGTTACAATGCGTCTTACTGCCAAGGGTTGAGTCATTTATATTCTAAATGAACTGCCTTCTTTCACCTCCAGTCACGTTATAGTCAACGGCAGCGATCCCGCTATTGATCTGGAGGCGCTGTCCCGATGTACAAATGGGAAACGTAATAATTTCAAGACACACGAAGATTCCTTCATCCTCGAGCTACGGCGTGCAAGGGTTACAACACCCGCTTTCCAACAATCTGTAAGAGGATCGTACAACAAACCAATTACTTAATTCGGCTTGCCTATGAAACCTTGCAAAGCTGACCGTCAGCTTGCTCCTCCCAGTTCTCGCTGCCAACGCAAGGCACACACCAAAACACATCGGTTGGGTCGACTTTTCGCTTGATCGAAAGAAGTCGCTTGTAGTTATCGCCCCAGAAAGCCTGCTGCCAGTCCTCTTCATAGGGATACGCCTCGTTCACATACGATCCGGAATCGGGGGCTAGATCCCAGAGAGGCTGGAACTTGGTTTCGAGCAGTTGCTTTGCTTCCTCTTCCGCCGTTGCGTTGAGAGGAATAAATCCTTGAGGAGCCACTGGGCATCTATTGTTAGTTAACTGAGCCAAGTTTACTCGGTAAAGGGTCAACTTGCGGGCGTGAATTTGAGCGTTTCTCCAAACTGGGAGAACCGAGTTACCTCCTCCCCTTGGCTTAGCATCATGAACACCTGGACCACCCACCATGAATGCTTGCAGATTGGTAAGCGAGTCCAGAGCAGTCATAAGAGCCTCTCGTAGCGGTTTCTCGTCCCCAAGGAGCGTTTCGCGGCCCAGCAGCCTTGATCTGAGGTAGACGCTATAGCCAGCCAACCCTTTATCGTAAGAGGCGTCGTACCAGTCCTTGAAGTTCTCGTACGTGGTAACATTCAAGATAAGCAAAACTTGGCCCTTCCACCGCGACTGCAAAGTTTCGTTGATGGGTTTGAAAATCTTGTGAACGGCGTCTGGGTCATCGCTGTTTTGGAGAATCAGTCCGCCGTTAACTCCAGCGATCTTATCTGGAATACCAGGCGCCGGTGATGGGTTATCCATCTCGCGGTAGAAGAAATTGTATCCAGAGAGCCCCGAGTCCATGAGATACGGGAGCTGGGTGAAGATGTACGTGATGAGATTGGGCACGATGGTGCTGTTTGAAGCAGTGAGGGCGCCCCATGATATGCCGTGAATACGAGGAGACGGGACGGTTCTCATGGTCACAGCCGTGATAACTCCAAATGTAGAGCCACCACCCTATTTTCTATTAGATAAAGTAATCTCTCATTTGAAAAGAATAACTGTGACTTACGCCTCTTAGAGCCCAAAAAAGGTCTTGGTTTTGATCCTCATTCACAGTCAGGATCTCACCGGCAGCGGTGACTACTTCCATCTCAAGAACATTGTCCGCAGCCAAGCCGTAGCGTGGCGAGAGAATCGAGTGGCCACCGGATGAGAAGTGGCCTGTGACGCCCACACTTCTTGCACTCCCTCCTACGACTGTGGTGTCATGAGCTGCGCAGGCCTCATAAATTACAAGCATCTCAGTCCCGCCGCCGGCAGTGACAGCGTCGCCCTCAATCACCTTTCCAAGTCCTGCTAGCTTAAACTCTTTCTTGTGATAGGTTATGTCGTTCAAATGATGGGTCCACACGGAGAGGGCACCGGGAGCGATGGACCGGCCGAGATAGTCGTGCCCAGTGGACTTGATCACCAGTCTAACGCTGTGGTCTCGAGCTATGTTTTTTGGAGGTTTTTCTGTTAGCTCTTTATGGGCAATCGCAATCATGAGGCTGGGTTACCAAAATCGATGCCGGCTTTGACGTGCTCAGCTGTCGATGCATTCACCACGTACTGTGGGTAGCCTTCGCGCCCACAAGGTGCCTTGGGATCAGGCAGGCATGAGTAGTCGGTGAACTGGGTTGACAAGACAGAAATGGGATCTTGTACATGGAAATCCTGAGTTGACCATGCTTTTATCACGTTTGGACATTGGTCTTTGTCATAGTTTGGTTGTCCTGTATGGCACACGCCTCCAGGAAGTTCCGGCTTGATGAGGTTTCCAGAGAGTGTTTCGTTGAGCTGCTTCCACTCGTCCTCGGAGGGCCAATTGGTATTTCCGGGTTTGACTTTACACACTCTGTGAGGGATAGTGCTAGCGGTGATGAGCAACGGGGCCAAAAGCCCCGTCGTCAGCTTTCGAATTGAAGGAAGTGTCATCTTGGGGTTGTGGAAGGGACTGTCAAAGAATTTCGTGGACAAGATGAAGTGTATGAATTACCAATGAAACGATGGGATATCGCACTCTATATTTTTACGCTAGCATCTAGTCTCTACTCTCTAGTCTGTCCTATGGTAAACTTATTATAAAGATTTATAAGCGCTTGGATCTTTCATCGGGCTGATAATACGATGGGTACGACTGAAAACAATGCCGCCCAAATTATAGCTCCGGCACTGTTTTAAGGGCTATTGTGATCCGGCGATGCACGTCGCATTGCCGAAGCGAGCAGATTGCCAATGACATGGGTGGCGGGAACCGACTGGACGGGAAGGGATCGCTCTAGTCACCTCTGATAGCTAGACTCTGGAATCCGACTGCTGGCGTGAACCTTATCCTTAGCACTTGAGGCGTTACCAAATAGGCTAATATTGCGGGAAGAGAGAGGAGAGGATTTCTGACAGCCCTGCTAGCTCATATCTAATTGACTAGAAGAAGACCTGGGAATCTCTAATAGTTGAGTGCCGCGGTCAACTTGGCCTTTATCGCCGATACTGAGAGTATGTAGGCAGCCAAAAGTCTCGGGCCGAGCACTGTAATATCGAGTATGCAACGTCAGCAGATGCCAATCCAATCACATTCATGAATTCTACATTTCAATTAGTATTGTGCGCCGCACATGGATGTCAGATTTATGAAATGTCAGGTACATACGTCAGCGATACGGGGCAAGGGCTCTAGTGGCGTATGACCGTCGCATTCGTCGCATTTCGGTGCTTTCTAGCTCGGCTTCGCCTCAAATAGAGCCGCGGGCTTACGTTCCCACATCAACCTTCTGGCGCAACCCCGATGAGAGAATCGCCGGGGCAGCTTTGGTCCGCCGGACTCATGTAATTAGCCGACATGGTCAGCAATTGAAGCGTCTTCTGAGAGCTTCAAACAAAGAGTATTTTTAGAATTCAACTAGCCCGAGAGGCTCCTTGTAAGGTAAGACCCCATACATGACGCGTGGTAGGTTGACACGCAATCAAGGTTCCTATGTGCCCGAATATTGTGATACACCTCTGCAGTTTATATAAGTAAACAGCCACCCACCGTATTGATCCAAGATTACAAGGCCGTGTATGTCCAGCCGGCCTCGACCTCAACCCTAGCCACTTCTCGCAAGATTATATAACTATACGGTTCAATATTCTTATACTCCTCGGCGGATTAGTTGCCTTAGCAATAGTAAACCAAAACCGCCTCCTACGTTATATATATATATCTAATCCCTTCCTTATCCTACTACATTAAGGTTACCCGCTATATATTAAGCGGTTACTGACCAACAAATACCATATAGTACAATACGCTTAAAAATATTACTGAGCTCCGCAGTAAGGTCTACTTACCCGGGTCAGATACCTACACAGACCGAATAGAGATATACTTCTCTAAGAGTACCGCCCTGGAGCCCTGGTATATAGTACTACCTTTAACAGCCTAAGATATATCCCTTACTATTAAGGCTTTAGTAGTGAATAACTGCCCCTTTAGTATTCGGAGCAGTAGGTATAGCTTATATCCTCTTTCTAATAGTATAGAGAAGGGTATTATAGTAGACTTTAGTAGGTTATATATACTGAAAACCAGTCTAGTACTACCTATTATATATTATTAATAGCCTTCTTATTCCAGGCTATATAAATACTACTATCTGGAACCCAGATATAGGCCTAGTATCTATTTAACCCGGTAGCTACTAGCAGGATATATATAATATACTTATATCCTACAGTATTACTATTGCGGGCAGCTGTACTAGCTATATCAGTATAGGTAGCTTCCTCAGTAGTAGTAGTATCTTCTTCTTTACTACCTTATACGGATAGGCTTATAATATAATTGCTAATTATAAGGTAGTACTTACAGATAGCTCTATTGTCTATACTAATAGCCAGGATAACCCAGACTTATAGCAGGCTCTTAAGAGAGCTAGTACTAATCTAGGCCTTATTATATACTTTAATATACTCCCGATTAAGCTCGTTAGTCCCTTAAAGGGAACTATCTGGGGAGATAATATAATATTTAAATCGGAGTCAGGGAATAATCTTATTAATACTTTAGTAGACTTTACTAATACTATATATAAGGATAAGAATAGTTCGGTTAGTATATCCTTCTTATACCAGCCTAAATTAGCAGGGGGTATAATAGCTCTGGTTTCTATTAAAAATACCCTTACTATAAGTAAGCTACTAGCTTTTAATAGCTTTTACGGGATTAGGGCTATACTTAATAATACTATCAGAATTAATACTATATTAGTACTCTCCAGGGAGCTCTCGGAGGATTAACCTATAGGATTCTGATAAGTTTAAATTATCTATAAGTATAGATAGTATTAGTATCCAGCAGTTAATCAGAGTAATAGTACTATATTTATTACTGTATTATTTAAGAATAACCTATAACTAATAAAATATACCCTTAATAAGATTAATAAACTTAATACCGAGCTCGAAGAAATTAACCTAACCCTAGGTATAAACTTTATAATAGTTAATACTATCCAACCTATTACGAAATCTATTATTAAAAAAAGTATTACTAAAGGGGGTAATATTATAGGTTTAGACCGCTATATTAATAACAGAAATAGTATTTTATTCCTACTTATTATATCTACTAATAATACTGAGGTAGAGTAGCTAGTAATTCCTAGGGCCGAGGTGCTTATAAGGGATATTAAGGCCTATATAGAGGAACTAGGCCTTAGATAGAAGTAGAAGTATCTAAATTATACATACGGGAGTCAGAATATAATTACCACAGTTAGTAAGAAGGTACTTAGTAAACTGCAGGCTGCTTCAGCAAAGTATAATCCCAATAGGGTTTTCTAAAGGCTGCGAGCTTCGGGGTTCAAAATCCCGCAGGATAAATGAAAGTACAAAAATAGTGGCATGGATAGTAAGGCTGCAAGTCGATGCACCTGCGGAAGGAGAACCAAAACTAGGAATTACGGGTCCAAGTTCAAGGTCCAAGTTAATGGCCCAAGTTTGTGCTGTGTCTGTTCTTGGCCCATTTGACCAAGTTCCATAGGCCCTATTGCGACAAGGATGCCTCTTCCTACATTCTTTCGGGGTGGATGTTGCGAAGGACCTTTTGAATTTGTCGGCATTTCCTGTTGCGCGCCTAGCGGTAGGCCTCGTAGTCATCTTCCTACCTCGTCCGTTAGTAACGAGCATAAAGATTGTTTCTCTCAGTACTGTAGCGCTAATATAAATGCCTTAGATGCAAGATAACTGTGACTTTTAACCAAAAATCGTCAGTAGATGTGAGTGACCCCACAAGCCGCTCGGAAGAACCGATGCAGCGATCCGAGAGAACGACCCGTGCGTTAGATATATTATGATGGATGCCTGTATTATAATTCTGTCTCTCTGAGGAATGAGGAATACATATTTCAAGTCTTGTTCAAAACGTGAAGCTTGCGTTACGTGAAGCAGTGCTGTCGCAAAGTACTAACAACCGAAGCCCTTGATGTCTTCTGAGCTAGAATATCTCGCTTATCAGTCGAAGAAGGAAGGTCGTGTTATTCTACACAATCCCCACCACACATGTGCTTATCACGAAATATCTTGAGCATGGTGCATCTGCATCAGCTTAATAACAAGGGTTCCGCAGTGTTGAAAATTAAAGGCAAAGCAGGCGAGATGATAAGCGAGAACACATTGACACGGTTTGGTTCTAGGTGGGTGGGCGTGACATTAAGACTTCGACCTAAGAGGCGCTAATATGCTCACGTACCTAAGGCTAGCAACACTGGGCGCGGCGGTACGGGCGAACCGTAGGCCACAACTGGCCGTGAATGCTTTTTTTTTGCTGTAGGTTGTGACATGGCGAGCTGGGGCGGCCAGATCGTCGGACTCGGTACTATACGACGCGGGTAAGAGCGGCGGGGCTGTGTTGTTATCTCGCTTGAGAAGTTGCATGAAGGAGGGAACCGCTGGCTCAAACATAGCCGGTGTAGGTGAGAGCACAAAGGGCGAATACTCGACACTGCTGCCCTCCTAGCTCACCTCCATCCCGATAATCGTTAACCAACTCCAGAACAGGGCCCAAGGCTCACCAGGGTTGACAAATCTAATGGCGGATTGGACGCAATGTGTTTGGAACAATATATTACCGCGTCACCGCTCGCGAATCTGTTCCACAAGACCTAATTTGCGGCGGAAGGATAGGTGGTCCGTATTCCCTTCCCGCAATCATTCCTATATCGAATCTGACCGGATTTATGTCATTGTTGGCTCCCCGATAAGGCCACGGATGGCAATGTTGTCCACAAGGGTCCAGGGTCTTCCCGCATCTTGCCCCATAGGTTTGCCCAGTTAGCATAGGTATCCCTGAGGGTGAGTCACAGAACTCACGTTTTTCAGGCACGATTGACGTGCGGAAACGTAGCACAGAGACACGGCATTATCAGTTATTTGATTTAGATGTTCTCACAAACTCATGTTCACTTTTGGGGTATAAGTCCTAATCTCGCTGATGCATTCACGCATTATTTTTGGAGCGAGAAATGGGAGTTAGCCGAACCCGGAGGTGCCAGCGTGTCGCCCGTGTTCAGAGCTGATTGAACGAGGGTACATGCAGTTGGATGTTCACGGAGGCTCGCCGCATTACGTGATGCGCAATGTTGGCATGGTGTGAACTTTTCCAAGTTTTCCAGCTGTCTCATCGGGCGGCTGGTGCAAGCGATTTACCACCAAACGTTCGTGGGTGGCTGAATGGCTGGCTTGATCGGCTACTCTTTCCCTTTGGATACTTGGGAAGACTGGGAAGACTAGGGAACCAACTCGATTGTACAGAGGGTGTTCCAACCTCTTCGCACGAACGAGCTCCCAGGTGGGTAATTGTCGATCTCAGCGAGCTGATCGGCTCGGCAACGTGAAATTCGGCCGAGTAAGTACAGTCCAGCATATATTGGGTCAAGCTCCACCTTCAGCACCCCATCTACATATATCCGGTGTTCGGACGAGTTCGCGAAGCTGCTAGTATTGTGCAGCCATGGAGTTTGTTGTATGGAAGAGGCAATTGGTCGAGGAGGTGGTGTAGCTTCGGTCACAGTGTGACAAACTTGATCCCATTTGAGAGCGTCATCCGGCTCGTTAGAAATAGCGTATTTCAGTTGAGGTTTGACGCGGTCGAAGTCGAAATCGGCAGATGTGGCTGTAGAAATACGGGTGAGGAAGTTATTCCGGAGTGTACTACACCCTGATTTAGAGGGGAGTATACTGATAATACGATAACTTTATAGAGAACACAGAAGGGGAAGAGCGAGGTTTCAAAGATCTAGAAAATGTTTAGAAGCTTTCCTATAAAGAGACTGACAGGTGCTACTGACCTTCCTGGTTAAGCTAGTCTATTGCATCCTGTTTTGAGACCATGACACTTCAAGGCATGGTTCTGTAAGTGCATCTTGTCTTCTAGTATTATGTTATAAACCCGGCAATGGATCACATGATTGTCCTCTAAAATAGAAAGGTGCCTGCGATGAAAATACTTCGCTGTATTACCAGACGTGTAGAACTCTCGGACTAGATCTTTTATTAAAGGATTATCTGGTTGTAGTGTGAGAGCTTTACCAATATATAAAAAACAGTATCTGGGCTGTTCCTTATCTGTTTTTACCCTGATAGCCTTCAGCGCGATTTTAAGCGCCTTTTGCAGAGGACCTTCCTCCTGTGTACCTATCCAACATGGATGTTGAGGCTTAGCTGATGACGCGTTTTTGCGCCGTATTGTCGGTCCTATGGTGTGGGTGCCTATTGTACGTTCCATCTCTCTTGTGGGCTATAGACAGTATTAGAGAGTTGAGAGGCGTAGTGCCTTGAGGAGTAGTGCCTTGAGGAACGAAGTGACGAGAGGTCTTACGCCCAACCGACTCAAAATCTACGCACTGTCACAAACTCACGCGATCACGTGTTTGGCCCACCACCCGCTGAAAACCCTTCCTACTCGATTCTTTTGTTTCTTCCTTAGATTAGTTGAGAGCGCGAGGATCTAGTGTAGTCGGCTGGTTTTCGCGTACGAGCTCCTCTTTCTCGCGCCGCTCTTTCCTCTCGTGCCTCCGCTGCCTCCTTTTCACGCCGCTCTTTTGTCCTCTCACGTCTGAGCTCTTCGTTCTCGCGTCGAAGCCGTACAATCTCTGGATCAGACATTGGGTACAATGGGAGTATCGCTTTGTGGTGAGGATGATTAAGTTGGTAGATTGTCCATTAATTGACAGAAATAGGAATCTCCATATCTCGGATAAATATCGGAGATTGGACCAAGAGGCGTTGCCTTTGAGGAGTAACCGACGCGCCTGGAACTCAGCTACGTCATTTGGAGGGTCAATTGTGGCTAACTTGACTGCATGACACTAGGTTGAGGCCGCCTCTATTCCGAAATAATCCCGAGACTTGGCTGTTCCCTACGTCCACGACGGGTGCCGTGGTTATCCATGGTTAGTCCAAGGCGATTGAGGATAACCCAAATACAAAATAATATTCATACGGTTGGGCTCTAATTATTGCCGGAACACCATCCTTCACTGCCTGTGACTATCTAGGGATGTATGGCTTCATAGCCATTAAGCTAATCACTAGCTAATAATATTTTACGGAGTAGTACATGCTGTCAGCCCTTGACTTTATGACGTCATTCATACCTGAAAAGTGAGGTATCAAGCTTGTGCGGGGTTGAAACCGTAACCTCCTGCCCTGCCGCGGCAGCCCGTCGGAGCGGCGTCTGGCCGCCGCTGTCCTGGGCCTCGATGCTGGCACCCTTATCGAGTAGCAGCGCCGCCACCTCTCGGTGCCCAGACTGGACGGCCCAGTGGAGCGGCGTCTGGCTGTCCATGGCCCGGGCCTCGACGTCGGCGCCCCTGTCGATATACTTTTGTGAAATTTATATCTCGGCTCGCCTCTGGTGGCTCGAAAGCATGGCTAACATATCCCCTTTGGAGGGGGCACCGACCGTGGGAGAGTCGCCATCTTCACCGAAAATAGCAAAGCTCTGCAAGTGGTGTAAGCAAATCAACTTCGGGCCCATACTTACGCCGACCGTGTGGGCTCCCAATGCTGACAAGAGCGAGCGAGTACAGCGGTTACCCATCTGAAAAAGGTATCAAAGCCGTTTGTCTTAGCAAGCTATGTCACTATTATGGGTGTTCTTTACGTAACGTTAAACGACCATCATTTCTATATAAGACGTTAAGTTTTCTCTTTCGTCGATGGACTGGAGTATCAATATTAAGCACTACTCAGCTCTTACGCAAGAGTATTCACTATCCGAAACTATCTCTATCAGTTATTAACTTCTAAGTTCTTCGCGATATTTTCAAAATGAGGCTTTCGACGCTCCTCGTTGCCGTTAACTACCTCGGCTTAGCCTCCGCTGCGTCCATCGCCAACCCTGCCGACAGCTTGCATACTCTAAATAAGAGAAATTGCTTTGAAAGTGGTGTGAGCTTTAGCTCTGATCGGGGCACTGCTGTAGCTAAAGCTCGAACGGCCTGCAACGGCCCCTTGAAGGGCACATATCGCAAGGGCCACAGTCACGATCGATCCGAATGCTACAATCTCTCCGGTAGCAAGCAAGTAAAATTCACCGTGGGCCTCACAGGCCCTAATGCCGGTGACTCGGCCAGCCTTAGTTTCGAAGACTGCCTCGACGGCCTTTCGAGTGAGATCTACAATTGCGGTAAGGGAGGTGACACAACTTACGGGCATTGGCGTTATAGGTGAGTGTTTTTACATTACTTATGCCTATTAAACTCTTGTTCAATGCAACTTACCATTTTAGGGCCGATCCGAACGAGGGACTGTGTCGAACTTTGTCGTAATTCACGCCCAACAGTGGCGCCCAGAAATATCCGCTCGGGAACAGGCTTATCGGTTAGTGACAACTTTCTCCCTTTGAAGATGTCACGGACCTAGGTCACAGTGGGGGATATGAGAAGAGAGTGAAGCAGTAGATACGCAAGGCCTTAGCTGCTAGAACAGTAGTGCCTCCAGTAACGAGGTTATTGACGACCTTGATTCTTGCTCCTCCTAGTAGTGCGCCTGTGCGCCCCTTTTGTAGACATCTGAGACCGTAGGCCCTAACCCTAATGCATGGCTCGGCGCCACCCTTATGCGCAGGAGCTGTTACATAGCAGCTTGCTAGTAGCACACATAGGTCCTGACAGAAGACAAGGCTTGTCTCGAAGTCGCTGAAGCTCAGATACGATACAGTCATTTCAGCAGCAAGAAGATTCGCTTCTTCTGGACGAAAATGGAAGCATGCAACTTCCTGATTCTCGGGTTGTCCGAGAAGAAACTCTTGCACAGTAGAGTGAGTAAATCGGGCGGTCGCATCTCCCTGTAAAGTAACGATGTTCTTGCAGTCGTCAATAACTCGCGTTGGAAGGTGTGGGATTTTCCTCTCATCCCAGCTCTCTTCCTGAGGAGTGAATGAGACTGCTTCCGTAATTTCTTGAGCAGATAACGGGCGTCTTGCCGCGTAGACTCATTGGAATGTTCTCCGTACTCGGTCTCTTGCCTCAACGGCCTGGGACGTTTTCGCAATGCGCTGAAGAATTCGGGTGTATGTGTCCACGATTCCTTTGGGTAAGTCATCGAGGACTGCCACCATTTCATATTCGGTTGCAGTTGCAAGTATCAATGAAAGCTGCATCGACGCCAGAAGGAACCTAGGAGTAGCATTAGAGACGGGTTTCTCGAAGACGCCCAATGTCTTCCCAGCTCGACTTACATGCCATCAGCACATGCAACTAGTTTTGGGATAATAAGCTTAGCCAACCTCCCACATCTTTCCAGATCATCGTCGCCACCTTCATTCTGGAAATATCGTTGTACCAAGGCTCCTTTATCTCTTTGCCTGCCTGATTCCAGTGTATTTTGATGTTCCGTCCTATGCTATCGGGACACCATTCCTTGACCACTTTAGTATATTTGCAATAGAAGCGTTGATGAGGCTTAAAAGATGCCGTCGAACCATACTATTCGAGCGGCTTACTACAGCTACATAATTCCTAGGGGCGGAGGTGGGGGTAAAAACGCACCGAACTACAAGGGTAGTCAAGCTGCTTGGTAGCTGATCTTGCCTACGAATTCCCTTATTAAACCACAATATTAGTCCCACTGCCTACATAGCATCAACAAGGATATCTATAACTATAAAGGTAGATCAACTAGTCGGGTGTTCAGGACAATTCATTCAACACCAACTACACTCCATTTCTTCCTAATGTCTTTTACTCTCCAGATTTAGCGTTGATCAGAAAATATGTCAGGCAAAGGAGAACTCGTCATCGTTCAAATTTTGAAGGAGTGTTCTTTACGGGATGAAAATGATCTAAAGAAGAGATCGCGCCATATCGCAGCAGGAGATCCAGCATATTCGCATCACCAACTCTAACCTACCCTAAACAGTTGCACCAATGGAATAAACGCTAGACTTAAATGAAAGCTTAGCATCTTGAAGCTTTTCCACGCGACTTTAGTTAGCTTAATATGGCCGCCTCCATTTGTTCTTAGCCAGAAAGGAGCCAGAAATCAAGTGAAATATCAAGAAACACATAAGTGGGAAAAACTTGAATTGCAACATCCCCACGCCTCACGCCAGCATGAGCAGGGACATACGGCAAGTGGAGAATTACGGCAGATAAACAAGAACAGAAATATTCCGCTCGCTCGCGATTTCCAGGCCGTTCGTGCCACGGCATAGCTGGAGATGTTGCTCCTGGCCTCAATAAACCGATGCCACAGAACTTTGGTGTGTTTCATCTTAAAAAGTTTAAATTCACCAACTCAGCTCGACTCAAATGTGAGGCGGTATGGAACAGCCTTCAATCTTATGAGGAGACTCATTCATATATGAAGGCAAGCCCGGACTGTAATATTTTATGGTCTCATTCCCCGCTCTTCTCCTTGAGTGAGAGTGGGGGACACGATGCATGACACAGCCAAGAAATATCTTTGGAGCGTTCCCCTGGCAGGACCGAGCTTAGAGTGGCCTGTCCCGCATCCTTTCAAACCAAATAGAGGCTAGATGCGGATGTTTCGCCCAGGATAGACATTCGCTAAATCGCCAACCGGGTTCCAGACACGTTATCCACCCCTGTTTTGGTTGCTGCAATGCTACCCTCTCGTCTACCCAGTAGTGGTAGATTTTTTTTTTGGTCGCAAGGACTTGGTGTGTGTGACGATGAAGGCAGCGATGCGCGAGACCTGGTTGACTTGTCTGCGCTACGCTGCAGCTAATGGGTTTGACCAAAGCGGTTCGTCTCCTGCTAACTCCCGGATAGTCCTAAGATCTTTTATTGCTAATGAGCATGATATATAGTTGATATCAGCGAAGCGTTGCGAAACCTAGCTTTAGACCATACCAGCTCCGTCCCATTTCAGAGATATTATCTCGGGCGAGAAGTTAATACGGATATATGGGCTATTCTCCGAGGTCAAAGGCTACAGCAGGCGCTAATAAAACAGTCCTGCAGTATTGGCTACTCGATTAGCAAGCGCCGGCTAACGGACCTCACTGCTGAGCAAGCCGCCTCTATAAATACACACCCTCTCATCAGGAAGCTCGAACTGTAACTCCAACTAATAAAGTAAGGGTCTAATAAATATATTAAAGCCCTTCGCAGACTTAGAAATAAGAAACTGAGACTCAAAGATCGCTTAAGGTAAATATCCAATACGAGTAGATAGATAAACAGGCCGTCGATAATATTAAGTATTAACTAAAAGGTAAATAGAACCCTAACCAAGTTATTAATAAGGGCTGCTGTCCTTAAGGATCGGCCTAGAAATATCTGGTATAAGCTCTGGCTGCTGAATATAATAATATAATTAAGGGCTATTATTAAAGGTATAATAATATAATTAATACTATTATTATATACTATACAGTTAAAGAAGGACTAATATTACAGTATAAAAAGATATTACTAATTAAGTCTTAATATATATAAAGTATAGATACCTAGGAGGAAGGTCCTCTATAAAAAGCGCTAAAAATTATACTAAAAGCTATTAGGGTAAAAATAGATAAGGAACAGCCCAGATACTTTTTTTTATATATTAGTAAAGCTCTTACTTTATAACTAGATAATCCTTTAATAAAAGATCTAGTCTGAGAGTTCTATATATCTAGTAATACAGCTAAATACTTTTATTACAGATATCTTACTATTTTAGAGGACTATTATATAATCTATTACCGGGTTTATAATATAATACTAGAAGATAAGATACTTTTACAGAACTATAGCCTGAAGTATTATAGTCTCAAATCTTAGTATATACATGCTTGCGCGCAGAACGTGACTGTTTTTATGTTGTTTTAATGCCTGGCCGTAATATGTAGGTATTAGCTAGGTGCCTGAGAACTCTAGCAGTAACTGTATATATGCGAACTTAATGGTTCGTAAATCCGTATCAATTGAGAATGGTGTGTAGACATACATACATACCTATGGATGTAGGTACACTAAGGTAGGTGTAGGCAGGTACCAACTAGCACTTAAATTTGCACTTGGCGCTTGCGCTGCAAATGCGATCTCTCGAGTTCGCAAATGCAAGCGAACCCCAGCTTTTGTTGGTTTGCGGAGTCAACACTAAATAAGCTCTCCCTATATGTGGTTGGCTCACAGGCCGAACCCTGTCCCTGGGAACTGTCAGTCGGTAGGTCCAGCACCTATCAGATGGAAAGAGGACAGAAGTGTGAATAGGACGGAAGCAATAGCCAATGTCTCTCGACATCATGCAATAGAGTCGTGCCTGCCACTACTCTTTCGAACCAAAGCACCTCCTAGTCTTAATCTGCGCACGCCTATCCTGTTCTCTCAGGACCAGAGAAACCAAACGGCGCGCAGTTTTACCAATTTCTCAACTCGTCCGAGGCCGTTGATTCCAAA